ATACTAATAAACCATCCTCTAAAAGGCTTGTCAGAAGCAGCGTCGTTTGAACTACAAAAATCGGATCTATCTGGAGGGCGGATAAAAAATTCCGAAAATCTTATTTGCTGTGAGTAAACGGAGAGAAAACAGCTAAAATAAGTAAAAATGAGGAAGGTTTGGTAGCTATGCAGTTTGAATTTTCTGTTCCTCTTTGAAAATCGGTAAATTTTCTGAAAAAGCGGAATACTTATAAAAAAAAAAGAAATTTTTAGAAAAATCTGAATTTTTGACAAAAAATCTGAAATTCAAGTGATAAAGGTGAAAAAAGCGGAAATCCGCTAAAAAGCGGAAAAATCTCATCCCTGATATAAAGTGAAAACAACATGCACAAGACAAAGGTAAGCAATATTTATTTCTGCTACCTTTTGTTCACATGAGCGTGTGATTACCAACAAATGTGAGGTATGCATAACGATAACAAAAGTTAAGCTTTAATACTTGACAAGTGGTTGTTTGATAGAATTAAAACACAGTTTCAACAATTTTAACATATGTAAAGCCTCATAATAATGTGATTATAATTTTAAGTGATAAGAAAATTTAGAACGTTTTTTTTTTTATTTTTAAATTTATACTTTTATTTCACTACCACTGAAAAAATTTTTCTAGAGCATAATGTAGTAATTCTATTTAACTTAGCCAAGAATATTAAAAAGTCACATTAATTTTTACCTTCAGTAGAAATGTCTTTCCACGGATTGGGTGGATACATGAAGGCTGCATTTTGGATTTGGTCATTAATATCCTCTTCTTCATTAAATGGGAAAGTTCCACTGAGACTGAAAATATTTGAAAAGATCAATAAAAGACTTGCAATTTGATTCCAAACAATATATAACATATTTATGACTTGATTGAAAAAGAGAATATACTCACAGTTTTCAGATATCATTATCCAGTATAACAGATTTGTATACTGCATAACATGTCTTGTATAACAATATATAGCATATTTGTGACTTGATTGTAAAGAGAATTGACTCACAGTTTTCAGATATCCAGCATTTGTATACTGGATAACAGTATTTGGATACTGTAATTGGATTTGTATACTGGATAACATGTCCAGTATAACGTTACACAAGAGATTTGTGATTCGATTGTAAAAAGAATCTACTCACAGTTTTCAGATATCATTATACAGTTGCACATTTACATAAATAGGCACAAATATATTTTACACATATTAATCTGTAATGACACCCTAAATATATTTTCAGAGCCCTTAAAAAAAATAAACACTACTTATATTGAGTGTAGCAAATCAATATTTAATTAAGAAAAAAAAAATGGCTATTTTTTTCAAGAATAAACAGATAAAAATAATAATTAATACAGACAAATCCCATCAAAATGAATCTGGGTTATAGTAAACGCTCGGTTGCAGTGAACTTTTTTAGTATTCCCTTTAGAATTCCAATTTGACTATCGCAGGGGTGATTGTGAGTCCAAGTCAAAA